ATCAAAGTTCTAGATTCTTACCGATATATTTTGTGATGTAACAGCCCTCAAGCTATTTTCAAGGATCCCTTCAGAAGAGGCAACAATATTCTGTGAGTACTTTATATACTATGTTTTGCTTTTGTTGTGTTGACTAAATACTGATGTAATCAGTTTGATTTAGGTTATGTGATTGCTACGATCCTGCTGGAGGACCAATCCAACAAACAAGAGATGTGCAGCAGCCAAGATCTTCAGCCATCCTGATGGTCTTGCAGAAGAGCCTTGGTATATTATTGAACTTTTGGTTTTTTCACAAGTTTTGCATATCGTCTTGGACTTATATGATTGACTTGCTATTTAATTAGGTATGGTATTGAACAAGAATACACCTGCTCCAGAAAGATGTTAAATGGCCTCTGGCTGGCCCGTTGGTGGCTACCCTGGACCTCAGGTACTCTCCTTTGTTCCTTGATTTTGTTCTTTTTTTAGAAGTATTTGAATGATAAATGCTAGATTTTTTTTTTCCCTGAACAACAATATGAGAGAACATTATTCTTTCCTGCTTAAATTGTTTTGACAATCATGTTGTCTTTTGTGTTTACCAGCTCCTAAAAGTCTTGTATTACTGGATCTTTCCTTTATAAACTGAATCTAAGAATTCGCAAACTATAATAACAACGCGCCAATATGGCTTTTCTGCCTGATTTTTGTTTGATATATTGGGTACATTTCCTGTCAGAGTTGTGTGTTCAGAAATTGTTCATCTTAATAGGGACCATATACTGCGGTGTCGGTGCTGACAAAGCTTGGGGAAGGGACATTGTTGATTCCCATACAAGGCTTGTTTATATGCTGGAATTAACATTAGTGGTATCAATGAGAAGTTATGCCTGGTCAGGTAAGTATCAAAATTTTCTACTAGTGTATTAACGTTTGTGTTACAATAATTAGCAATTAAAGCATTCTTCATATTCTATACAGTGGGAATTTCAAGTAGGTCCGCGGTCGGAATCTCTGCTGCTGATGAATTGTGGGTAGCTCGCTATATTTTGGAGGTAATTTATGGTACTCTATTTTGAAGAAGATATTCTGTGACTACTACTCTTTTCAATTCAAAGTTAGGAGTATCTTAAATGTCCTTATTTGTGTTTTAACAGAGGATTACAGAAATTGCTGGCGTTGTCCTTACCTTTGATCCCAAGCCTATTCAGGTCAATTTTCCTCAATGCTTTAGTTTTTGTTTTTTTGGTTAATTTCGCATTTTCATTGCTTGCAAGTTAGAGGCCACAGAGATCAATATTGATGTATTAGTTAATGATATGTTTGTTTGCACACCTGAGTAAATCTATCAATTATTTCACCAGGGTGATTGGAACGGTGCTGGTGCTCCCAATTACAGGTAACTTTTTATATGTTTGTGCTGATTGATTATTTATTTGAAGTTACAGACTTGTATATTAAATTTGTTAATGATTCAGTACCAAGTCAATGAGGAAGGAAGGAGGCTTTGAGGTTATCAAGAAGGCAATCGAAAAGTTGGGAAGAAGCACAAAGAGCACATTGCTGCTTATGGTGAAGGCAATGAGCGCCGTCTCACTGGTCGACACGAAACCGCTGATATCAACACATTCAAATGGGTATAAAAAAATGACCCTTTAATTTATCTTGTGTTTGATTGTTGAGACTTGCTTCTTGGTGCTTGGATTGCATGTTTGAGTTCATTTTTTCTGTGTTTTTCCGACGAAATGCAACAGTTGATTTTCCTTTTATTCTGTCCCTAAACAGGGTGTGGCAGCACCGTGGTGCCTCCGTTCGTGTTGGCGAGACACACAGAAAGAAGGAAAAGGTTATTTTGAGGACAGGGGCCTGCTTCTAACATGGATCCATATGTGGTCACTTCCATGATTGCGAAAACCACCATTCTGTCGGAATGAATTCCAGCATTAGGGCTCATGAGTCATGAGTCATAAAAGAATTGTGTTTACTAGGATCCATTCCATCTGTTTCATTGTAGTATAGCTAGTTGTGTTTCAGTGTCTGCCCTTGTATTTGAGTTTGGCAAGGTGGGTTCATTGCTTCCACCTCGCCTTGGTGTCAGAATAATTTAAACTTTTATATTAATAACCATATGAAAGGGCTGATTTCCATGTTCTAAAAAACTATTATTCTCTCCAAGAAATGAGGTTTCCCTTTGCGTTCGTATGATTTATTTTGCTCAACGTTTGGTAAGAAAGTTTGAACTGCGATAACTTTTACGGACTGCCAAAAAAAAAGGGCTTCGTTTGGTTCAAAATTTGGGTTTTTGGGAAAAGTTTTTTGAAAAAAAGTTAAAAAAAAGTTGAATTGGGCGGGTATTACGATGTAAGATTTATAAATTAATAAAATACCTTTATGTTTGTTTTTTTACAAAACACCCCCTATAAAAAACATTAAAAGTTAACAAAAACACCTCCAACTCACCTCAAATACGGACAGCCGACCACCACCGCCGGAGGGTGGCCGGAGTCGCTGTAACAAAAACATTAAAATATTTAGGGGTATTTAATTAAATTAACAATTTAGGGGGTTTAAAAAAGTTGAATAAAGTTGAATATAATTATGAGTTTTTTTGTTTTTACTGTTTAACTTTTTTGGAAATACTAAAAGTAGTATTCCCAAAATCCAACCAAACGAAGCAAGGAGATTAGATTTGCCTTACTGAATGATGTGACTACAATAGTAGAATTTACTGAAGTTGAAATAGTCTCTTTCCGCTTGCCAAACTGTAACAAGGTGTGAACTGCATTCTCAGTTGACATATTGGGCAACCCTTGTTGAACATAATACATAGTGCTGAAATTCAATGGTTCTGGAAATGAAGTCACATTTTGAGATAATGTTATTCTAGATTCCATTGTTGATGTAGGGCAATTTGTCCTCCATGAATGTCCAATTGACATATTGTGATGAGATTCCTGGATATGATCTACTGTCATTAAGTGTTGAGCTAAAGCAAAACACATGCATCAAATGCAATTATTTGGACCGCCATTTGGGCTCTTACAAAAACAAGGAGGTGGCTTTTTTTTTTTTTTTGGTTTCATTTATTATTATTATTGTTCTATTTATATGTTGATATTGACGAATGACCACCATTGTTTTAAAACTCGGACCGGAGGGTAACCCGCTTCACTGCCCGGGTCACGGGTCAACCGGTCCAACCGGTTAGACCGGCCGGTTGGACCAATGATGTTAGCACAACCAAAACAAAATATCTTTTTTTTTGAAAATTTTAGAATACCAACTTAGTTACTATCCAATTCAAACTCAATAATAATCCCGATTTAACTACAATCCAAAGTCCCCAAACATCATCCATTACAAATTAAATGATAAAATACATAATAATTAATAACAAAACCACAAGCGTTTTTTACATACAAATTCAGTGAACAAATTATCCATCAAAGCATGAAAGCAATAGATTGATAAAAAAAAGAGGGTGGAAATATCTTAACAAAAGAGTGTTGTCGTCTTCGTCGATTTTGAGCAGGAGAAGTGTTGTCGTCGTCGATTCCAGCGAAGGAGGGAGGCTTCGTCGTCGTCGTGTAAGGGAGAAGGGAGGTGCGTCGTCGTCGAAATCCAATGAGTGAGATGCTGCCTTCGTCGAGCAAGGGAGAAGGGAGGTGCATCGCTGCCAAAATCTAACGAAGGAGGTGCTGCCGTTATCGAGCAAGGGAGAAGGGAGGTGAGTCGTCACCAAAATCCTGCGAAGGAGGTGTTGCCATCGTCGAGCAAGGGAGAAGGGAAATGCGTTATTGTCAAAATCCAGCGAGGGAGGTGCTACCGTCGTCGAGCAAGGGTCCAAGGGAGAGTGGAGTTGAGAGATTGAATTGAGACTGGGTGCAGTTATCTGAGAAGGGAGTTGCGATTTTGGAGAATTGAGAGATTGAAGAGAGTGGAGAAGTGGAGTCGCGTGAAAAATAAATCAGATTTAGGGTTTTTTCATTTTAAACATTGACCCGGTTCACCAAGCGGTTCGGTTCGACTTGACTGGTCGCACTGTTTATCCGATTTGATAACGGGTTTAAACGGTTTTTAAGTAATAGCGGGTTTTATATTAGCTCAAACCAGACACACAACCGGGTCCCAGTTGAACCGGTTAGACCAGCCGGTCTGGTCCGGCTTTTAAAATAGAGATGACCACCCAACTTCTTTTATTAATTTGTGGGCCTTATTTTAAGTGTTCAGATGAAGTTTGATGCATCCCCATTACCCCTTTCTTTTTTGGTAACCAGATTATCCGAGTCAGCTTTTTTATACCTTAATTAATCTCTAAGATTTATTGAACACCCTACAAGCCTAAAGAGCTAAGTAAGCCAGAATATTATTATGATAAGTGACCTCAAAGTTTGAAACTAATAACTTAAGAAAGTGAGCACACTTCCTTAACCGTCAATCCCTTGCCCTAGGGGTTATGCATCCTCATTATTACTATTATTATCATTATTTTATGAGGGAAAGTCCAATAAATACCTAGCATTTGTTAATAATTCAAGTATTCAACAATAACTTTTTTGTAAAAGTATTTACAAATACTATTATTCCAATAAAAGCCTTAGCATTTAGTTTAAAATCTTTCTTTTTTTAGAAGTTATTTGGAATGATAAATGCTAGATTTTTTTTTTCCCTGAACAACAATATGTAGAGAACATTATTCTTTCCTGCTTAAATTGTTTTGACAATCATGTGTCTTTTGTGTTTACCAGCTCCTAAAAGTCTTTGTATTACTGGATCTTTCCTTATAAACTGAATCTAAGAATTCCAAACTATAATACAACCGCGCCATGGGCTTTTCTGCCTGATTTTTGTTTGATATATTGTGTACATTTCCTGTCAGAGTTGTGTGTTCAGAAATTGTTTCATCTTAATAGGGACCATACTACTGCGGTGTCGTGCTGACAAAGCTTGGGGAAGGGACATTGTTGATTCCCATTACAAGGCTTGTTTATATGCTGGAATTAACATTAGTGGTATCAATGGAGAAGTTATGCCGGTCAGGTAAGTTATCAAAATTTTCTACTAGTGTATTAACGTTTGTGTTACAATAATTAGCATTAAAGCATTCTTCATATTCTATACAGTGGGAATTTCAAGTAGGTCCTGCGGTCGGAATCTCTGCTGCTATGAATTGTGGGTAGCTCGCTATATTTGGAGGTAATTTATGGTACTCTATTTTTGAAGAAGATATCTGTGACTACACTCTTTCAATTCAAAGTTAGGAGTATCTTAAATGTCCTTATTTGTGTTTTAACAGAGGATTACAGAAATTGCTGGCGTTGTCCTACCTTTGATCCCAAGCCTATTCAGGTCAATTTTCCTCAATGCTTTAGTTTTTTGTTTTTGGTTTAATTTCGCATTTCATTGCTTGCAAAGTTAGAGGCCACAGAGATCAATATTGATGTATTAGTTAATGATATGTTGGTTTGCACACCTGAGTAAATCTATCAATTTATTTCCACCAGGGTGATTGGAACGGTGCTGGTGCTCACACAAATTACAGGTAACTTTTTATTGTTTGTGCTGATTGTATTATTTATTTGAAGTTACAGACTTGTATATTAAATTCGTTAATGATTCAGTACCAAGTCAATGAGGAAGGAAGGAGGCTTTGAGGTTATCAAGAAGGCAATCGAAAAGCTTGGGAAGAAGCACAAAGAGCACAGTGCTGCTTATGGTGAAGGCAATGAGCGCCGTCTCACTGGTCGACACGAACCCGCTGATATCAACACATTCAAATGGGTATAAAAAAATGACCCTTTAATTATATCTTAGTGTTTGATTGTTGGACTTGCTTCTTGGTGCTTGGATTGCATGTTTGAGTTCATTTTTTCTGTGTTTTTCCGACGAAATGCAACAGTTTGATTTTCCTTTTATTCTGTCCCTAAACAGTGTGTGGCAGACCGTGGTGCCTCCGTTCGTGTTGGCCGACACACAGAAAGAAGGAAAGTTATTTTGAGGACAGGGACCTCTTCTAACATGGATCCATATGTGGTCACTTCCATGATTGCGAAACCCACCATTCTGTCGAATGAATTCTCAGCATTGGGCTCATGATCATGAGTCATAAAAGAATTGTGTTTTACTAGATCCATTCCATCTGTTTCATTTGTAGTATAGCTAGTTGTGTTTCAGTGTCTGCCCTTGTATTTGAGTTTGGCAAGTGGGTTCATTGCTTCCACTCGCCTTGGTGTCAGAATAATTTAAACTTTTATATAACCATATGAAAGGGCTGATTTCCATTGTTCTAAAAAACTATTATTCTCTCCAAAAAATAGGTTTCCCTTTGCGTTCTGTATGCATTTATTTTGCCAACTGTTTGGTAAGAAAGTTTGAACTGCGACTAACTTTTACGACTGCCAAAAAAAAGGGCTTCGTTTGGTTCAAATTTTGGGTTTTTGGGAAAAGTTTTTTGAAAAAAAGTTAAAAAAAAGTTGAATTGGGCGGGTATTACGATGTAAGATTATAAATTAATAAAATCCCTTTATGTTTGTTTTTTTACAAAACACCCCCTATAATAAAACATTAAAATTACAAAACCCCTCCAACTCACCTCAAATACGGACAGCCACCACCACCGCCGGAGGGTGGCCGGAGTCGCTGTAACAAAAACATTAAAAATATTTAGGGGTATTTAATTAAATTACAAATTTAGGGGGTTTAAAAAAATTGAATAAAGTTGAATAATATTATGAGTTTTTTGGTATTTTACTGTTTAACTTTTTTGGAAATACTAAAAGTATATTCCCAAACCAACCACCGAAGCCAAGGAGATTAGATTTGCCTTACTGAATGATGTGACTAAAATAGTAGAATTTACTGAAGTTAAATAGTCTCTTTCCGCTTGCCAAACTGTAACAAGGTGTGACTGCCATTCTCATTTGACATATTGGCACCCCCTTGTTGAAATAATTTTTAATATGCTATAATAATTTATTAATACACTAAGATACTAAAAAAATGTTTTCATAATAATATTATAACAATCAAAATTTTAATATCATTTAAAAAAAAAAAACAGTATTTCTTGTAGTTAGAAAGGCATAAATGAACAAAAAGTTCGGTGTATAGTAGTACTTCACGAGCTAAAGTGGCGCGTGGTCTTGGTCTCAACAATCACATGCGTGATTCTATATTATTATTTTATTTTTGGAGATAAAGAAAGAAAAAAAACTTTAATTAGTTTGATTTTAGGTAAAATATTTTAAAAAGTTTTTCTCAGAACACATTGAGCTGATTGGGAGTTCCAAGGTGCGTGGGCCACCCCAATGGGAGACTGCGAACCGCAGTGATCGTGGACTTTTCAATCTCGACGACACGTGGTGGTATTCTCGATGCTCGCACTGATCCTGAACACTGCCCCACGTCCTTCACCGTACAACCGCATACTGGTTTCTCAACCGACTAAATTGGTATTTATCCATTTCTTTTACAAATAACATTCCTGCTTATCAATTGAAAACCTTCTTAAAAACCCTAAGAACAATAAACAACGTGGCAGTTTTAATTCCAAAAACCATTAAAAATGTAACAGAGTAACAGTAAAAATAGAAGAGAATTTCTATTTTTTATATAAATTTAAAATTACAACATAAACTCTTTTCCAATAACTAAATCCACCGCTCTTCAACTTTAAATTAGGAATTTGTCTAAAAATATTATTTTACTTTTAATAAAAATTAAAAGTCGAGACAAAACAAACGACTGGCTAGGCCGGTATCCACTTAATCCTGTATATTATTTAAAATCTCTAACAACGTGGACCCTCTGATTAGATTCTCCCACAAGCGAGATCATAGTCAGTATCTTCTCATTAATTTCACAAACAGGAAACAGCCACTTGAATTTTCATTCTAATAGATTCCTTAGTTTTTAATCATAAATAAATAATATATATATATATATATATATTTTTTTTTTACAAAAATAGTATTAAAGTAAACTTCTTTATGTCCTCAAAACTACAATCCGGCACTATAAGAAGGCAGGCAAAATCCTCATTCGTGCACCTCTCTACAGAACAAATCATTGCTACAGAGCGAGAGCAAAGATAGTTCGATTATATTATTTTCAGCTGAGTTTTGTTGGTGAAAAATGGCTCTCCTTACAGATCTCATCAACCTTAACCTTTCAGAATCCACGGACAAGATCATCGCCGAGTACATATGGTTCGTCTCGTCAACTCTCTCTTTTCTCTTATTACTATTTTGTCACTCTGTTTTGTTGTATTATACTTCAAACCGTACTTTTCTTTTCTCTGGTGTGATCCGGAGCTATGGTGTTGTTAGCATCGTTCTTAAATGTTGTTTTTGTTATGTCTTTTAAAGTTTTATAAACATGTTATGTTTTTACTCACCAGTGGTTTAGTTACATCTGTGTTTTTTGTCTTGATCGGTTTGAGTGCTGAGAAAGAAAGTACGAGAAAATAAAAGAATCGGTGCTTTCTGTTGTTGTTGTTGTTTTTTTTTTTTTTTCTAATTTTTATGCTTCAAATATCGCTCCGTGGACAAAAGTTATAAATTTTTTTGCTGTGAGTTTTGGTGATCTGCCGTTTTATGAGCTTATTTGTTTATTTTTTTTTTTAATTATTATTAGGATCGGCGGATCGGGTATGGATTTGAGGAGCAAAGCAAGAGTAATTACTAATCAACTTTCTATTTTTGATTAGAAAGAAGAAACTTTTGTTGTATTTGTCAGTATTGTTTGAGTTTCTAATTCTTCTTTTGGTTTTACAGACTCTTAATGGACCTGTTAGTGATCCTTCTAAGCTTCCCAAGTGGAACTATGATGGTTCTAGCACTGGTCAAGCTCCTGGTGAAGACAGTGAAGTGATCCTTTAGTAAGTTTTTGATTTTGTTTTTGTTTTTTTGTTTTTTTGTTTTTTTGTTTTTTTGTTTTTTTGTTTTTTTTGGGTGTTTAGTTTTCTATATCAAAGTTCTTAGATTCTTACCGATATATTTTGTGATGTAACAGCCCTCAAGCTATTTTCAAGGATCCCTTCAGAAGAGGCAACAATATTCTTGTGAGTTTCACTTTATATACTATGTTTTGCTTTTGTTTGTGTTGACTAAATACTGATGTAATCAGTTTTAATTTAGGTTATGTGTGATGCTTACGATCCTGCTGGAGTACCAATTCCAACAAACAAGAGATGTGCAGCAGCCAAGATCTTCAGCCATCCTGATGTTCTTGCAGAAGAGCCTTGGTATTTATTATTGAACTTTTGGTTTTTTCACAAGTTTTGCATATCTTCTTGGACTTATATGATTGACTTGCTATTTAATTAGGTATGGTATTGAACAAGAATACACCTTGCTCCAGAAAGATGTTAAATGGCCTCTTGGCTGGCCCGTTGGTGGCTACCCTGGACCTCAGGTACTCTCCCTTGTTCCTTGATTTTGTTATTTTTTTAGAAGTATTTGGAATGATAAATGCTAGATTTTTTTTTTCCCTGAACAACAATATGTAGAGAACATTATTCTTTCCTGCTTAAATTGTTTTGACAATCATGTTGTCTTTTGTGTTTACCAGCTCCTAAAAGTCTTTGTATTACTGGATCTTTCCTTTATAAACTGAATCTAAGAATTCGCAAACTATAATAACAACACGCCAATATGGCTTTTCTGCCTGATTTTTGTTTGATATATTGTGGGTACATTTCCTGTCAGAGTTGTGTGTTCAGAAATTGTTTCATCTTAATAGGGACCATACTACTGCGGTGTCGGTGCTGACAAAGCTTGGGGAAGGGACATTGTTGATTCCCATTACAAGGCTTGTTTATATGCTGGAATTAACATTAGTGGTATCAATGGAGAAGTTATGCCTGGTCAGGTAAGTTATCAAAATTTTCTACTAGTGGTATTAACGTTTGTGTTACAATAATTAGCAATTAAAGCATTCTTCATATTCTATACAGTGGGAATTTCAAGTAGGTCCTGCGGTCGGAATCTCTGCTGCTGATGAATTGTGGGTAGCTCGCTATATTTTGGAGGTAATTTATGGTACTCTATTTTTGAAGAAGATATTCCGTGACTACTACTCTTTTTAATTCAAAGTTAGGAGTATCTTAAATGTCCTTATTTGTGTTTTAACAGAGGATTACAGAAATTGCTGGCGTTGTCCTTACTTTTGATCCCAAGCCTATTCAGGTCAATTTTCCTCAATGCTTTAGTTTTTTGTTTTTGGTTTAATTTCGCATTTTCATTGCTTGCAAAGTTAGAGGCCACAGAGATCAATATTGATGTATTAGTTAATGATATGTTGGTTTGCACACCTGAGTAAATCTATCAATTTATTTCCACCAGGGTGATTGGAACGGTGCTGGTGCTCACACAAATTACAGGTAACTTTTTATATTGTTTGTGCTGATTATATTATTTATTTGAAGTTACAGACTTGTATATTAAATTCTGTTAATGATTCAGTACCAAGTCAATGAGGAAGGAAGGAGGCTTTGAGGTTATCAAGAAGGCAATCGAAAAGCTTGGGAAGAAGCACAAAGAGCACATTGCTGCTTATGGTGAAGGCAATGAGCGCCGTCTCACTGGTCGACACGAAACCGCTGATATCAACACATTCAAATGGGTATAAAAAAATGACCCTTTAATTATATCTTAGTGTTTGATTGTTGAGACTTGCTTCTTGGTGCTTGGATTGCATGTTTGAGTTCATTTTTTCTGTGTTTTTCCGACGAAATGCAACAGTTTGATTTTCCTTTTATTCTGTCCCTAAACAGGGTGTGGCAGACCGTGGTGCCTCCGTTCGTGTTGGCCGAGACACACAGAAAGAAGGAAAAGGTTATTTTGAGGACAGGAGGCCTGCTTCTAACATGGATCCATATGTGGTCACTTCCATGATTGCGAAAACCACCATTCTGTCGGAATGAATTCTCAGCATTAGGGCTCATGAGTCATGAGTCATAAAAGAATTGTGTTTTACTAGGATCCATTCCATCTGTTTCATTTGTAGTATAGCTAGTTGTGTTTCAGTGTCTGCCCTTGTATTTGAGTTTGGCAAGGTGGGTTCATTGCTTCCACCTCGCCTTGGTGTCAGAATAATTTAAACATTTATATTAATAACCATATGAAAGGGCTGATTTCCATTGTTCTAAAAAACTATTATTCTCTCCCAAGAAATGAGGTTTCCCTTTGCGTTCTGTATGCATTTATTTTGCTCAACTGTTTGGTAAGAAAGTTTGAACTGCGACTAACTTTTACGGACTGCCAAAAAAAAAGGGCTTCGTTTGGTTCAAAATTTTGGGTTTTTGGGAAAAGTTTTTTGAAAAAAAGTTAAAAAAAAGTTGAATTGGGCGGGTATTACGATGTAAGATTTATAAATTAATAAAATACCCTTTATGTTTGTTTTTTTACAAAACACCCCCTATAATAAAACATTAAAAGTTAACAAAAACACCTCCAACTCACCCTCAAATACGGACAGCCGACCACCACCGCCGGAGGGTGGCCGGAGTCGCTGTAACAAAAACATTAAAAATATTTAGGGGTATTTAATTAAATTAACAAATTTAGGGGGTTTAAAAAAAGTTGAATAAAGTTGAATAATATTATGAGTTTTTTGGTATTTTACTGTTTAACTTTTTTGGAAATACTAAAAGTAGTATTCCCAAAATCCAACCAAACGAAGCCAAGGAGATTAGATTTGCCTTACTGAATGATGTGACTACAATAGTAGAATTTACTGAAGTTGAAATAGTCTCTTTCCGCTTGCCAAACTGTAACAAGGTGTGAACTGCCATTCTCAGTTGACATATTGGGCACACCCTTGTTGAAAATAATACATAGTGCTGAAATTCAATGGTTCTGGAAATGAGGTCACATTTTGAGATAATGTTATTCTAGATTCCATTGTTGATGTAGGGCAATTTGTCCTCCATGAACGTCCAATTGACATATTGTAATGAGATTCCTGGATATGATCTACTGTCATTAAGTGTTGAGCTAAAGCAAAACACATGCATCAAATGCAATTATTTGGACCGCCATTTGGGCTCTTACAAAAACAAGGAGGTGGCTTTTTTTTTTTTTTTGGTTTCATTTATTATTATTATTGTTCTATTTATATGTTGATATTGACGAATGACCACCATTGTTTTAAAACTCGGACCGGAGGGTAACCCGCTTCACTGCCCGGGTCACGGGTCAACCGGTCCAACCGGTTAGACCGGCCGGTTGGACCAATGATGTTAGCACAACCAAAACAAAATATCTTTTTTTTTGAAAATTTTAGAATACCAACTTAGTTACTATCCAATTCAAACTCAATAATAATCCCGATTTAACTACAATCCAAAGTCCCCAAACATCATCCATTACAAATTAAATGATAAAATACATAATAATTAATAACAAAACCACAAGCGTTTTTTACATACAAATTCAGTGAACAAATTATCCATCAAAGCATGAAAGCAATAGATTGATAAAAAAAAGAGGGTGGAAATATCTTAACAAAAGAGTGTTGTCGTCTTCGTCGATTTTGAGCAGGAGAAGTGTTGTCGTCGTCGATTCCAGCGAAGGAGGGAGGCTTCGTCGTCGTCGTGTAAGGGAGAAGGGAGGTGCGTCGTCGTCGAAATCCAATGAGTGAGATGCTGCCTTCGTCGAGCAAGGGAGAAGGGAGGTGCATCGCTGCCAAAATCTAACGAAGGAGGTGCTGCCGTTATCGAGCAAGGGAGAAGGGAGGTGAGTCGTCACCAAAATCCTGCGAAGGAGGTGTTGCCATCGTCGAGCAAGGGAGAAGGGAAATGCGTTATTGTCAAAATCCAGCGAGGGAGGTGCTACCGTCGTCGAGCAAGGGTCCAAGGGAGAGTGGAGTTGAGAGATTGAATTGAGACTGGGTGCAGTTATCTGAGAAGGGAGTTGCGATTTTGGAGAATTGAGAGATTGAAGAGAGTGGAGAAGTGGAGTCGCGTGAAAAATAAATCAGATTTAGGGTTTTTTCATTTTAAACATTGACCCGGTTCACCAAGCGGTTCGGTTCGACTTGACTGGTCGCACTGTTTATCCGATTTGATAACGGGTTTAAACGGTTTTTAAGTAATAGCGGGTTTTATATTAGCTCAAACCAGACACACAACCGGGTCCCAGTTGAACCGGTTAGACCAGCCGGTCTGGTCCGGCTTTTAAAATAGAGATGACCACCCAACTTCTTTTATTAATTTGTGGGCCTTATTTTAAGTGTTCAGATGAAGTTTGATGCATCCCCATTACCCCTTTCTTTTTTGGTAACCAGATTATCCGAGTCAGCTTTTTTATACCTTAATTAATCTCTAAGATTTATTGAACACCCTACAAGCCTAAAGAGCTAAGTAAGCCAGAATATTATTATGATAAGTGACCTCAAAGTTTGAAACTAATAACTTAAGAAAGTGAGCACACTTCCTTAACCGTCAATCCCTTGCCCTAGGGGTTATGCATCCTCATTATTACTATTATTATCATTATTTTATGAGGGAAAGTCCAATAAATACCTAGCCTTTGTTAATAATTCAAGTATTCAACAATAACTTTTTTGTAAAAGTATTTACAAATACTATTATTCCAATAAAAGCCTTAGCATTTAGTTTAAAATCTTTAAATAATAAAAAAATATTTTTATACTATCATTTTTAAAATACATCTTCAACTCGAAATTGTATGAAATGTTCAGAAACCCGGACCGGAAGGTGACTCGATCAAGTGACCGGTTTCCGGTTTGAGCGGTCCAACCGGTCTGACCGCCGGGTCAGACCGATGATATCATCAAATATTATATTTTAATATTTATTTTCTAACATGTCATTTCGTCTTTCTCTTTCTTTTTTTCTCCTCCCTTTTTTTTCCACTCTCTTTCTTTCCGTCATCTCTTTCTTCTTATATTATATATTTTCAAAATGTCACTTCATCATCTTCTTCTCACCCGTCACCTCATCTTTCCTTTCTTCCTCTCTACTTCTTTCTCGCCATCTCTTCTCTTTCTTCTTTAGTTCTTCCATATTCTCCTATTTTCTCACCTCCTCTTCTCTTTCTTCTTCTCTTTTCTCACCTTCTCTTCTCTTTTCTTCTTCTGCATCTTTTGAAGACTTGAAGGCTAAAAGCCGAAGCTTGAAAGAGATCGCGAATGGAGGACTAGACTGGAGCCTAAAAAGGTTGATTGAAGAGGAAGAGATCGCGATGATTGAAGAGGACTTGAAGAGTGAAGACTTGAAGGAGATCCGAGATCGCGAATGGCAAAGTAAAAAAAAAAAAAAAAGCAAACCAAAATGAAAAAGGCAGAAGCAAAAAAGCAAAATTTTAAAAGTGGCAGACAGCTCGCAAAAGCAAATTGAAATGTATTATAAAATTTGGGGGTTTGACACTTTGATTTGTGTTTGTGGTTTTAAATTTTTTTAATTTTTTTCATATTTTCAAGTAGTGGACCAGATTGGATGTGGACCGGATTTCTTTGTTATACCGGTTGGACCGTCGGTTTGCTACAGTAAGGCGGTCTAATCACGGTTTGAAACAGTCTGATGCAAAAATCCAGGTTTTTACTCTTTTTAAACCGGAAATATAAGCGAAACCCTGTCGGATTGGTTCGACCGCCCGGTCCAGTCCGGGTTTTAGAACATGGATTGTATGTGTGTTATATAGCACACTACAAAGAATATGTTTTATCATTATGTTGTAAAAATTAATTATAAGGATAATAATGTTTTGCTTACCATTGAGTCATACAATCGGATAAAAATTACACAAAATTTATGTAAAATAATTATCTTATCTTCTGTTTTTTATCCGATTGTATGATTACGTAAGTATAACATTGTTTTTACAATAACACTTACACATAAATTACTCCCTTACAACATGACATGACAACTGATGTGGCAGATGTCCAAAATTTAAAAAAAAAAAAAAAAAAAAATCTTACAATAACAAATTCCAAATTTCATTTTCCCTCAATCCAAATCCTAAATCAATTTCATTTTCACTCAAATTCGAACCCTAAAGTTTTTCCCAGATTTCGTTTCAATTTTTAGAACCCTAGCCACCACATTCCCCAATCTCAGGCGAAACGCAATTGCCACTACAGCAGCACCAAGTTGACCTCTGCACCAGCTCCGTTGGGTATTCATCCGTCAGGTCTACGGAATTTCGACGACCTTGATTGTGTTGACCACTCTGGTTTCCTCCATCACCTTCTCTACTCTTCCATCAACGACCTCCTGAGGAACAATTCTGGCCTTCTCCTTTTCCTCTCACTGCTCCCTTTCATCCGTATGTCCATATCCCTTATTTCTCTCTGTGTCTCTGTCTCTTTTATTTTCTTAACTCTGATAGGATTAAGAAAATAAAAGAGATAGTAAAAAATGAGTGGCGAAAGACTACAGCTTCTCAAATTCACAAAGTGGAGAAAGACTTTCTCCCTTTCCTCTCACTGCTGCAGTCTTTCGCCACTCACAGTCTGTCTCTGTCTCTGTCTCTTTGATTTTCTTAATTGTGAATTTCAAAATTTTCCCCCAGCTCATTTTTTACTGTGAGAAAGATTGCACAAATTAGAATTTGTGTAGTCTTTCTCCACTTTGTCAATTTGAGAAGTTGCAGAAAAGTTGCTGTTTAGGACGAAGCTAATTTGTGCAGTCTTTTGCCATTGGATGGAATACAGGAATAACATGCTTATTGATTCGTTTGGAGTTTGGAATGGATGGCAACATGTTGCTTTGTCTTTGAAGACCTTCAATGAGAGAAATTGATGGAATTAAGACAAGTTATACATAGCAGATTAGATTTAATGTTCAGCTTGGCAGCAGCCTTCAGTAATTATTTTTTATGGTCTGCAATATCTGGTTAATTGGAAGTATAATTGATTGTGTTCACATTCCAGTCTATTTAATATGTGGTTATTGGTTGGATTTGTTTGCTTATTATATTCCAGTCTCTTAGTTTATTAACTGTGGATTACAGAAAATAAAGTTTAAAAGATGTAAATTATTGTTGTTTAACTCTTGTACTGTTGAGCAGCCTTCTCTTTTAAATAGGTTTTACCTCAATGCATCTTCGTTGTGATCTCTGTGCAGAAAAATTTTACCAGTAGTTTGCAATTTGTTTATGCAGTTTCCAGGAGTCTTGGGCAGTAT